ATATCGGTCAGTCATGAAATTTATTTTGATACTGGGCAGTTCAGGAAGCCTTTTAAAGTTAACTTAATTGGATAGTTGGATGAAATGATTTTATTCAATTTATCAGTGACACAACTGACCTCTGAACAATGCGAAAATGTACTGGATGTGATTAAACTAAGTTTCCGTTTTCAAACATTGAGCTGTGTGAAATTATAAGAATGTATAAGATACATACGTAAGTATTTTTCAGTGGGAGCCGGGTGATGAAATACATCTGAGCATTTTCAAGACTACATTGTAATTCAATGAAATCTATTTTCAGTTGAGCGCTGAACCATTTTTGGGTGGCGTATTGTACATTCGAAATTAAAACATGATATCGAACATGCATGTCTTGACATATTTGCTTTGTTTCGTAATGTGTTTTTTCAACGCACTTTCCAGATATTTACCAAGCTAAGTGGAGTTTAAGGAAATGTTTCTTTGCAGCGCCACTTATATGGGCTTTGTTATTGTTTTTTTTTTTAACTTTCTATTTTGGATACTGTGGCTTTGTTGCATCTTTCCGTCCTATACTTTACGCCTGAATCAATGTTTTCGGAAATTACAATGTAACGTGGAGGCGCAAGTGTTTTCGTTCAGTATCAAAAGACCACTTGCATTATCCGGCCCATAGTAGAATAGGGAATACATGTAAAATTTCCGAGGCTCGGAAGTAGTACATTAAAAAGAAATTGCCTCTCTTAAACTAAATTAAATGAAAAACAACAACAACACCAAAAAAACACATACAAAGTGCAATGCTAATGCCTAAAATATTCCCAAGACAAAATACAAAATTCCTGTTCAATTGCTTATTCTGTGAAGACAAATCTTAGAGTTTCTTTTTTGGTAGGGATTTTTTTTTTCTTTTTCTTTTTATTTACTTCTTCAAGCTCAATTTCAGCTACAGCTAGATTGCTATTTCTCGATATATCAACCTGACACACTTTAATTAGTAAGTCAAATGTATTTACTTAATATTATTTTAAAGCGGGAATACTTGACATATTGCATTTTACCACTAAGTCTAAAAAGCCTCTAATCTCTCACCTGCACTGCTATCACGCGAGAATTGTAAAAGTCTCTCATGATCAGAAGCTGAAAACATGAAACGGCTCGCTATTTTACTCGTGTGTTACGCGTTACTGCTTCAAGTTGTACACGCGGGTAGTGATTCGTGTCGAGGTGAAAGATCTCAAAATGGTTTCGCTTTGTTCCATAAAAACTACAGCTCCAGCTTTACAGAGAACATTTCTGAGTGTCTTGAATTGTGTATCAATGACCTAAGTTGTATGAGCTTGAATTTCTGGTTGGACACAAAACAGTGCGATCAGAATAATCAATCAAGAGAAACTTGTCCACTGTGTTACAAGACTGCATTCTCCAGATACATGGGAATGGCCAGATCAGGTAAGATAATATAAAAACACAAAAGGGTTCCAGTCTTTAGGCTTGAGTTTCCTGAGCTAGCTATTTGCTAGTGATATAAATGTGGCATTTGATCGAAATGGTAAACAGAGGGCAAATTTTCACACTTACGTATCATTTTCATTTAAGGACGTTCGCGCGAAAATTTTCCAACATTGATTTTTTTCTGAGACTTTTACAACTGTAAGATGATGAGTTAGTTATGCCAAAAATGTAAAAAAAAA